ATTTCGTTCTTTTTTTATAATTAAACAACGCTGATTGTCTTTTTATTTAATTTTTAAAATTCAGTCAAAATTGTTTCAAATTAAATTTTTGAAATTTATAAAAAACATTAGCATCAGTTCAATTTAATGGTTTTTTTTTTTTTTGCTTTGAGAAAAAATATTAGTAATCAGTAGCGATCAGTGATCAGTGATCAGTGTGACCAGACAATGTTGCTAAACATAATTGTATTAGTATATCCCATTACATATAGTTGCATACAAATAATATTATCAAAATTATTGTTAATATATCGATCGAATTTGTCAAAAAAAAAAAATGATCTTATCAAATCAATTTTTTCTTTTTTTTTCTGCACAAATTTTCATTTTTCAATTTTAGGTTAAATGAAAAAGGAAAAAGGAAGAATAAACAGAAAGTTTTGAATTTAAATTTTTATTTTATGCAAGAAAAGATATATGCTAAAAAAGTGAATGAATGTTTAAAATGATTCAACATTAACCCGATGATCATTTTATGCAAATTAAACTATCCTTCCTATTCCATTTTTTTCCATAAGATCAGAATTTTTGCTATTATCATCAGTTGAAGATACGGAAGAAATAGTATTGGTGGAAAATTGTACGGATGAGGAAGAGGGGATAGTAATTGATGATTCCATATCTTGAGATTTAGTTGAAGATGATAGTGTAGCAGGAGATCGTGAATTACTCGGGAAATCATCCTTACTACATTTATCCTGATCGATCAAGGTGGAACCACGATAGCAGAAGAATGCTTCATCAAAGGATAACATTTGTGATGGCTTTCCAAGTATTCTCAAGGCATTCGTATATTGAAAAATGCCACCACGTAGACCAATTTGTACAACAGCATAAACTGTTGATGTCGCATCTACTTTGACATTACGAATTGGATCTCTGAAATTGAAAGAAAAATTTATCAAATCAAATTTTTACTTTTTTTTTCCCATCATTGATGAATCTGATACATCAAATGGAAATGAATGAAACTTATTCGTGCCGTATTTCTTCTCAATTCGATTTCTATGAATTGTATTACATAATTACCAAACTTTTATTGTAAAACTACAATTGCAATTAATTTATTCTCAAAAACAAATGATCGAGTTGCAAAAAAAAAAAATTTCAACCACAACCAAGAAAAGATTCAAAATGAAATTAGGAAATAATTTATTTTTATTTTGTAATTAACATTAACCTTTCAGCAATGAATGTTGCATTGATTCGATAAAATTTTGGCTGTAAAATTTCTCCGGTCACTTGTACTTTACCGCAATCGTTCAATTTCCTAAAATTAACATCCATTTTTGATGATGGATGATAAATGAATGGACTGAACAATCATTCATATAGCTCCAGATTGACTCCATGTTTTTTACTACCAATCATTAATTAATATTTTCTTAATGAATAAATGACTGCCTATATGATATTCGAAGGTTTTAATTTCTTTTTTTTCTGACTTAAAATTTTACATTTCATCCTTTCCTTTGTAACGTATTCTTTTTATTAATTTCTTAATGGTTGTATAATTTAATTATTTTATTTTTGTCCTAATGATTGGTTAATTAAATTATTGTATGCATATAATTTACTTATTATATGCACAAAATCTTAGCATAAAAAAAAAGAAGTAAAAAATCAAGAAATAATTGTCAGTTTTACAGTATCATATTTTCTATAAATAATTGTTCCTTACCAGAAAAGAGAGATAGAGAGAGAAAGAAAAAAAAAACGAAAGTTTATTAATAATGGAAGAATTTTTTTTTTCACGAATTTATATTAATATTGTCTGATATCTTGAAATTTATCGGAATGACATACAACGATTTTTTTTTTTCTTCTATTTAGACGAAGATTGATAATTAGTAATTTAACCCTAATTATTGCATGTCATATCATTACATCAAATAAAAATATCAAGTTTTTAATGGTAATGTTGTATTTTTCGGAATGTTAGAAAAAAAAAACAAATTTCATCAATCGTTTCATTCCATTTTAAAATATCCGCGATTTTTCGGAGCTCACTTGGGTTATATTCAATTTATTACACAGAACACAGGTTTCTTCTTTCACTTGTCGAAGAATTTTAATTTTCTTGTCCAATAAAAAGAGTAAAAGAGACGTTAAGACGTCTCTGTGAAAATATTGAAATTATGGAAAACCAAAAATCTAATGAGATAATGTGAAGTTTTCGTTTTTTTTTAATTAAATGAGACAACTTAAATCAATTTCAACGAATTCGTAGTAAATTTTAAAAAAAAAGTGTTAAAGATTTTGACATTTTTTGAGGCTGTGTGATGATTGATTTGAGAAAATATGAATAAAATATTTTCTTAATTTCCTTTTTCTTTTTTTTCCCAAATATATATGAGGAAATTTTGCATAAAAATTAGTTATTTGATAAATTGTTAAATTTCAAGCAAAATTAAATTTGCCAATTCTATTTTATTATTTTTTTAGCATAGTTTAAGCTTTTTTCTGTATCATTTGCAAGTATTTTACTGAAACAAATTAACTGTACTAAATGTTAATATTTTGTAATTAATGAAATTTTATCCCAAATTAATGGAAAACT